TTGTTTATAAAACAATAAGTTGGAAAACAATCCTTCGTATCGCCAATTTTGCTCTTTGGCCTTCTCATTTCATGAAATTATTTACATTTCACACACACACACACACACACATACACACACACACATACACACACACATACATACACATACACATTCTTTCTCATCGTTGTTTTTCGATTCCGCGGGATGATATCGAAATCAAAAAATAGCATGCCAATTTTGTGTGAAGCAAACTGGAATAGTTCATCATTGAATGAAAATTTCTTTTAAGTCGCATTTAAACATAAAGTGAGGGTGAATTGAATCAAACTGACTACTGCAATTGTAGTAATTTATTTGCGCACATTAGCTATTGGTTGAAATGCGATTGTAGTAATACTGCAATTGTAGTAATTATTTGTTATTAGATATTAGCTAAGATCATCTGTTTCATACGTAGTTTATAATTCTTATCATTTCTGCTTATCTAATCTTATTCTACGAAGTATTTTTCTTAATACTACAATTGTAGTTATTATTTGTGCACATTAGCTACTGGCTAAAATCATCTGTTTCATACGTAGTTGATAATTCATATCATTTTTGCTTAACTTATCTTATTCTACGAAGTATTTTTCTTAATACTACAATTGTAGTAATTATTTGTACACATTAGCTACTAGCTAAAATCATCTGTTTCATATGTAGTTGATAATTCTTATCATTTTTGCTTATCTAATCTTATTCTACGAAGCATTTTTCTTAATACTACAATTGTAGTTATTATTTGTGCACATTAGCTACTGGCTAAAATCATCTGTTTCATACTTAGTTGATAATTCTTATCATTTTTGCTTATCTAATCTTATTCTACGAAAAATATTTTTCTTCTTTTGTTTTTCATATTCAATTCAATTACCTTCATTTTACGTTTGTTTTTAAATAATTAATTTTTACATATCTGAAATTTTAAATTTCTATTCATCTCATTATTTTGAAGAAAAATAATACTTGAATTTTGCCTTTACAAAAAATTACTTTCAAATATATACTTAAATGTAACTTTTAGATTTACCTCTTAAATTATCTCTTAGGCTTTTCTGAATTGTAAGTGTTAATTCGTTTTCTAATTGTTTGTTTTTTCTTTAATTGAAATTCTCTTTATTTTAATAATTGCAGTTTAATAAATGGATGTTAAAGGTGATTACAAACGTTTAAGTGTACAAGAAGAGACGAGCAAGGTAAGCTTTATGTGATTATAAACCATTACCTATACAAGAAGATACGAGTATGGTAAAACTTTATTTTTCAGACTTTTAAATTCTATTAACGCTTGCTTGTTTTATTTGAAATATATTATGCGCGTTTTATTTCCCGATGAGAATGAGATTCACCGTTTTCTTTTTATCATAGAATTCAACTGACAAATCTTCAACACAACAGCATTCCGATCAACCATCACAATGTAACGAAAAACGCTGTCGTTATTCGAAGGAAGATCGAAGTATTAGAAATGATTTTAGAAATTTTTTTTAATTCTATAAATTCATTTTTAAAGTTATCTTAATAATTGGAAATTAAAATCAGAAATTGAAATTAAAATATTTGATACTGAAAAAATCCATTATTATCTAAATCTATTAGTTTCTTTTCTTTCAAATTTGGAAATTTTATTTGTAATTGCAGAGCAGAACGGAATCGAACCATTGCTACCAGAAGGATATTAAAAAGCTACACTTTCAAGAATGTATAACGGATATTAGCCCTCTTTGAAGTCAGTCAGTATGGATAAAAATCCTGACAAACTTATCTTGGATACTATTTTTATATTAGCTTCATAATCGATATCAGAGAATACAAAAAATGATAAATTTCTCTATTTGATAATCATGTATGTTAACAGATTAATTTTCCGGATTTATTTCGACGTTTTTTTTATGAAAAACTTTCTAATCTGTCACTTGAATATGTTATAATCATTTATTATCAACTATTCCGATAACTTTTTTTGATTAATTCTTTCAAAATAATGTCCGATAGACTTCCGAAAACATCACCGATACTGATAAATAATCCTTTCCTTCGTAAAATAGAAATGATTAAGTAGTTCAATAATATATTCTTGCATTATTTACTAATAGCTTGAAATGTTCGTTAACTATTCCTCATTTCTTCATCATCTTTACAGTTCATTCAAAGTTTAGTTCAATAATTTCACGAATAGATTTCGTTGAAGTTTTAAAATGCAATAAGACATCTACGATCGTTCCATTAGCTTATATGGCTATAGCAGCACATTTCGATGCATTTCATTTCAGCTGTATAACATTTGCTAATTTCATTTCAAAAAATTCATTTCAGTTCTATGACATTTGCTAATTTCAATAAATCATTTCATAAAGTTCATTTTAATTTTACGACATTTGCTAATTTCAATAAATTAAACAATTTTTGATATTTGATAAAATCAAACAATTCGTTAAGCATTATTTTCAGTTTCACGATTTATGTAGAAGTTAGTGACAAGTTTTACAGGTGAAATAATACCTTTGCTATTGGTACTACTAACAGTAGTACCGATAGCAAAGATATTATTTCAACAGTTGTCACTTATTCTATTGCACTTATAATTATCAGCAGTGTGATTTTATCACATTACTGATATAAGGATGAGGGGAAAAAATTATTACATATGATGTGAAAATTTTTCAAATTTAATGTAGAAAAAATACCAGGAAAAAATTCCACATAATTCTTCGATTTTAATTTAACAAGTTTACTTGGATAATTAAAAAATTAATATTTATCACAAAAAAAAAATGATAATAATGATAAGTCGTGGGGGGTAACGATGTTAAATATACCTTGCAAGGTGAATATCTGTGCAGAAATAATTTATCAAAACCGGATTTTTATCCCGGAGAATTGAAAAAAACTTCATGAGTGATTGGTTTTGTTATTCAATATCATGAAATATTATTTTTCAAATTTTCTTTTCAAAAAATAAATACTTTGTGATTATTTGTAGGAATTCTTAAATGAAAGTTTCAAAATTCAAAATTTCAAACTTAATCTTTAATTCATACTTAATCTTTAATTCAAACTTGATCTCCAATTCAAACTTAATCTTTAATTCATACTTAATCTTTAATTCAAACTTGATCTCCAATTCAAACTTAATCTTTAATCCAAAAATTTTTTCTAAAAAAATTTGGATCAAAAATTAAATGTTATATCTTGCAAAATAAAATGGACATGAAATGGTTTAAAATTTCTCCAAAAATATAATAATTACTGGTAACAATAATGAAAGCAAATAATTATTGGTTGATCGGATAATTATCCATTTCAATCAATGAATTTTTAATTTTAAATAGGACTGACTGACTTTTATATATCTTTATTAATTACTTAATTGTTTTTGTAAACCTAAATTGTTTTTTTGTATTTGAAATTTTTTCTACTTAATTTAACTTTTAGATTTTCCTCCATTCTAATTGAAATTTTGATTTGATCGATTAAAATGGCTAACTATGTTTATCACAGAAAAGAGTAAACTAAGAATAGAAAGGATCAAAATGATAATAACTTCTAGCATTTAACAATAATGTTTAAGTCAAGAAAAAAGTGATGAAATTTAAATAGTTACAAAAAAATGAGCAAATTTAAGAGATGGATAAAATTAGGTAAGATAATGCCTAAAAGCAAATAAGCCAAATGATAGGCTACAATGAGATGACTTATCACCGAGCCGATCGATTTCAATGTTAATAAATTTAAAATCACAACGTTGCAAAAATTTAGTACATTAGGAGAGAATGAATGAAGGTAAAAAAATAATGATGAAAGAGGTCATTCGATATGAAAAATTTTCAAACATCTAATCGGCTTGATTTATTCGAATGATAACACTATTAATAGATGGTATGAAAGTTAATTGTTCCTTTAAAAAGCGGTGACTGATAAGTTATCTTGATAATTCATCTTATTAATAGTTGATTAATTTAGAATGATTATATTTTGAAATGTTTTTCTTTATCGTTTAATTTCCAAAAACGATAGTGTTAAATATACCTTATAAGGTGAATATCTGTGCAGAAATAATTCATCAAAACCGGATTTTTATTCCGGAGAGTTGAAAAAAACTTCATGACTGATTTTGTTAACTGCTCCATGCAAAACAATTAAAAATGCAATAATTATGAAGGAACCATACTCCAACATATCCTTGACATTGATAAAATTTATTTACGATTTAAATTGATTTCAAAAAATGATAAATTGATAAAAATTAATGAGAGTGATAAAAATATTGATAAAAACTTCTTTTCAATTAATTTTATTCTTGTTTAACCGTGTTGTATCACAAAAAGTAGTAAAAATTAACGATTCGAAGGAGATTTAATTCACATTCAATTCTTTCATTTTTTTGCTTCATACAAACTCAAAATTTAAATATTTAAGTAAATTTTTAAGGCAGATTGATTAAATGACAAATTATTATAATTGAATTTATTATAATTATTATAATAGTATTATTATTGAATAATATAAGTTTGATAATATACTAAAATTAATAATATTCATTAGTAAAATAAGCATATATACAAATAGAAATGAATAAAAGAGAGCGACTAAAAGATGGAAAATGATGTGTAATTCAAGAATTTTCAAATTTATTCACACTTTTTAAAGCATATTATATGTAAATTAAATTGTTTGAAATGGATATTGCAACAATATTTGGGAATGGATTTGCAAAAATTTAAACTGACAGTTGCACGTAGAAACGATCAATTTCAACGATCATTCCTTAACTAATAAAACGTAAGCGGAAACTGTAAAAAGGCATAAAACGTGAAAAATGAATTATTTCATATATGTTGAAAGATACATATATCTTATATGAAAAAAAATTTATCAATAGAAATAGGAATTAAATTACCAGATTCCATCATTCTAATTGTTTTCATTTCAAGCGGGTGGACTGTTAATTAAGCATTCCAACATATCATCATCCAATGTTGCCTAATTTTCATGATCGTAAGAGATCGTTATCGTTGAAAGATTTCCCTAAAGAAGGTTCTAGCTTTCAAGGCAAAATTGCTAAATATCAGGTTACTATTTAGTTAGCGTTGTTAGAGATTACTGAAATTCGAAATAGAATCATATTTTAAGGATTATAATTTTGCGAATCAGCAGAATACATGATAACATTAATGAGTGGAAATCGAGGAAATAAAATATTCAACTGTAAATTTATTGAAAACATTTTGCACGTGTAGAAAATTTACTAATGATGTATAATTAAATGAGAATTTTAATTCCTGAGTTTATATATCTTATGTTTTATAATATCTTTAATTTATATGTCTTACTCATTAAACCTTACTTTCCTAAGAGATAATTTCTGTTAATTAGCATAAATAGTATTCCATAGAACAGGTAATCAAACTTCTTGGTAAAGGTGGATTTGGTGCTGTCTTTCAAGTGCAATCATCGATTGATAACAAAATGTATGCTGCCAAATTAGAATCTTACAATCATTCACGCAAGGTAAAATTTACTTTTTGTTTAAAGAGAAATCATTTCTACCAAAGCATAGCATAAACTCCAAATAATTCTAATTTAATTTTTAGGCTCTTCTAATGGATTGTCTTGTCCTACGAGGAGCTGAAATGCTGAAGAGTTCACATTTTTGTAAAATTCATGAACTTGGCAAAGTGGAAGGAAAATTTCGTTTCATTATTATTACAATGGTAAAATGTTCATTTTAGTGTTAATTAATGATCTTTTCAAAATTAAAAAATCAATAATGCTATCCTTCAACATTATAATATTATCAAAGAAGTATTACTTGTGATTATAATTTTTATCATGTTATCATTTCATTTATATTTTCTCAAAAGTTTTGCTAGAAAATTTTAGTTGGGTCCAAGTTTACATACATTACGAATATCACAAAATAAAAAATGTTTCTCACTTGGAACAGCATTACGATTCGCTCAACAAACTCTGGAAGCTTTACAGGTAATCTGTTAATCTTCGATTAGACTTAATTTCGCATAACTGCTAGAAAATTGCTACAATTAATGGTATCATATGAAATGTGAAGAGCAATGATACTACAATAAACAAAGCTGAAAGTATTCGTTGATTTTTTAATTAATTGAAAAAATATTTTGATTTCTTATTTCAAGCTTATTTATTCTGAAAGGTATTTATCATTACTCTTATCTCAATCATTAAAATCTTCTTGTTTATATTCAGGATATGCATTCTATTGGATTTCTTCATCGCGACGTTAAACCATCAAATTTTGGAGTTGGTCGTCCGGAAACAAATGATTTTCATATTGTTTATATTTTCGATTTTGGTCTTGCTCGACAGTTTGCGTTTGTTTTTAAATTTTATAAAACCAATTGGAGCAACTTTGCTTTTTTTTAAAGCCAAGAAAAAGAGGATGAAATAAAGTTGGATATAAGATCATCAAGATTATTCGGATCAATTCCAGTACACGAAATAAAGATTGCCGTTTGCCACGCAAATTTGTACCATTCCGTGGTACTCCACGATATGCATCATTAAACAGTCACAAAAAACTGGAACAATCACCAAAAGATGATATAGAATCTTGGTTCTATATGGTCATTGAGTGGACAGTAGGCGCTTTACCTTGGAGGAATTTCAAAGTAACGTGAACTTTATAAGGAATATAAGTTCCAATATGCATTGTGCAGATTTCGATTTTCTGTAATCGTCCGAGTTTCAATCCCTAATAAATGGATAATGATTAAACTTGGCAGTAATTCTTAACAAATTTTACTAAATTTTCATAAGTTTATCCAAAAATTGTATCGCATTGATACGGTAGCTTTTGTAATTTCTACAACATTAAGTCACTGATAATATGGCTTACTTCAATTGCGATAGATATTCAGCACCGCTTATGATCATTCTTATTAATTTCAGAATGAGGAACGTGATAAGATTATGTTACTGAAAGAGAAAAGTCGAGAATCAATTGGAGTAAATTTACTTTTGGAAGGTTGCCCGATGCCGCATTATCGAATAATCATGCAATATATCGATGGTTTACAATATACTAATATTCCGGATTATGGATATATTTATTTCTTACTCAAACATATTGCTAAGGTATAAACAAAATGTCCAAATGATTGCTGTTCGGGCCAAATGTTTCAAAAGAACTTTCCTCATCCACAGGTCATCATAGTAAATCTTTCTTGTTAATAGGAATCACAGAGAGTACAAATTTAAGTCCCATTAAATTATATTACAGAAAAACCGAATACCTCCTGATGAACCGTTGGATTACGATCTGGAACATCCATATGCCGGTACCGAAACGCCACCATCATGTTTACCGTACGGTGTACTCATATCGCCCATTCAACCGAAAAACATCATTGAGATCCCAGCAAAAAATGATCCTATTTATGAGTCATGATTTTTAGGTCTATCTTCAATAACTGTTCCTCTGAATCATCCAATTTACATTTTTGTTCCTCTCTTAAATTGTTTTATGTTTCCATTCTGCAAATTACCCGATAAATCCTGTCATCATTTGTAACAGTCGGTCAATTCGGAAAAACTTCAGTTACACGTGATGTACGTCAACAGAACAGCAACGTCTCAAACACTATGAACTGAAAATTCGGCAATATCCATCATTTTAATAATTCAAATAATCAAATTCACTCTTCCATTATTTCATTTATTTATATTTGTTTAATATTCCATTCATTCATTAAAACACGTCTTTGTTAGTTTGAACGGAAAGGTCAATGGTCAGCTAAAAGAAAATGTTACTTACAAGGTCTTAAAAGTTATTACTAAATCATCAGCTCTAGAATATTCTCTAAAAATACTCTTTCTCTGATATAATTTGATCTTAACCATTTATGAACATTTTCCGACAAAGAATTTAAGCATCCATTAGTCTATATATCGAATCCTACCCAAGTGTAAATGTTTTATTATTCTTGGCTTTTAATAACTTTTACCGGTCCTGATTTTTGCTGTCCTTTAACCTCTTCGAGCGATTTAAATTAATTAGTAATAGAAAAAAGAGTGAACACGTTCCGATAGGATTTTGACATGCTTACCTTAAAATCAAACCAACTGAATATGAATTCCTTACAGATTCCAAAATTACTCTTTATGGGACTCAGACTAATTATGATCAAAAAATATCAGCAACGATCAAATTCTTTTTCCCATCTACCGGAACATAAATGAAACTTCTGGACCAGAAAGATCCGAAAGTTCAATCCTTGTGATTATTTGACATTTGATAGAACTGAAAATGATAATCCAAAATATTTATTTTATTCTCACAATCTTTTTCTTTATCAAGCATCAAAAAAAAACAATGTAAAACTATTGGATTTTTAATAAGCAATCGATAAAATGTGCTGTAATAGCTAACAATATTCAGAAAGATAGAGGGTCAAAGGTCACCAAATCCAGAGCATAGATATGGCGCATTGTTGAAAGCATATTATGGGTCACTTCGATCTTCAGTTTTCAGCGTTCTCATTCCTTTAACGGTCATGTCTTATTGTTTGATACTAAATGGAAAATTTTTGATTATTTCTTGTTCAAATTGTTCTCTACGAACACATACATACTTCATTTGCATAATTGGAGGATTAAGGCAACCAACCGAATTTGATCGATATTCAAAATAAGATTTTTTCCTTTATATCTGTCGTTTATAGCAAGATAAAATCATTAATAAGAAATGGAGAAGCAAATGCAGCAACTCTCCCTGAACAGCGCTTGCGACAAAAGTACGAAAAATCAGAGTAGCACGTCTCGTAGCAAATGCAAGAATCAAAAGCCGTCCATTCCGAAGTCAAAATCGGTGTTCCAGAAAACCAGAGAGTTAATCGATAAAAGAATAAATGAGCTTGAGATATATTATGTAGGTTTTATTTAACATTTACTTTAAACTTTTTCAAGACTAAATTAATCTTCCGAAAGAACAGAAGTGAGAAAATAAGTTAAATCTGAATGAAGTTTATTCCCATGAAGGATGTTCATTTCTCTCAAGCAAGTAAATAAAGCGCTTGAGAATAAACAAACCTATTACATACATTACTGCACAATATTTGATAAGAACAATACTTCAAGCAGAAAATTTAGTTAAATTTTTTGGTTATAATGATCTTGACCTCAACTGTCATCTGATATTTTCAACAATGATATTAACTTCTGCTCTTTATTTCAAGCCCATGTTTGCATAGTAAGCAAATTTTATAAATTGTAATAATTTATTAAAGAAAACATTATGTATATTATAATTACAACAAATTTCAATCAATAATATTTAAAACTAAAAACGATTCTCATCGATCTGTCGGATCGGTTTCGCTCTTTTCTCTTTTTTCTGATCATTGAGGTTCAAAGTCTCAGTTCAGCGTAACAAAAGTCTACCTTGAAGTAATTTTTAGACAAAAAAGTTTAATTCTCAACTAGCTCTTATTTCAAAACATGACATAGCGAAAGATAATTTTAAATTGACTGAATTTCAGAAGAAATTAAGCAAGAAACAAAATAATCCAAATGATGAAAACAGTATGGAAGATGAATGCGTAAGTGCTTCTGATGCTATCTAATCATGATTCCTCTTATGAATGAATGTTAACGTATATTACTTCGAGTAGGGTAAAAAATCTAATTTTAGGCTAAAATGAATCTCATAATGAATCAGCTCAATGCTTTGCGTGAATTGAACGAAGTTCATCTGTCCGATGTGAAAAAGATTAAACGGGCGAAGAATAAACAAAGAAAGGTTTTTTATTATTTTAACTTACAGAATAGTAAATTTTATTATTTATATATTATTGTATAAAATTGTTACAATGGAATTTATTACTTACAGAAAATTAAAAAGAACTTCATTAAATTAATGGGAGATTTCCAACGTTACAAAGAGCTTCTGTCATTGCTTCAGAATGCTGAAGTAAGAGAAGCATTTCGTACTGGAACTAATGGAGCCATAGTGAGTTCAAATGATTTTTCTACATTGTCCGCAAAAAGTAACAATTAATGTTTTCCGGAAAACACTACTAACTGTGTTAGTAATGTTTCCGTAAAAAAGATCAGTATTCGATCAAACTTCTCGTGCGTTATTATTAAGAATTGAATAAGATGATAGGCATATATGCGTCATCAGCGTAGTTAAATGGCTAATTTTAAATCATCTTTTTACACTTACTCACTAATCTTTATTCATTACAAAATGTTTGATGAACAGTGAAATTGTATGAAATTTGCTTTAAAATAATTTTAAATTATCTTACCGATGAAATTGACAGGTAGAAATGTTTTTGCAAAGTAACTGATTCGATATTGGCTTTTCTGTTAAATTATTAAAACTAAAGTAAGACTTTAAAAAAGCAGCATAAATGTAATAATCAATCATTATCAGAAACTGTCAGAAAACGAATTGGATTATTTGTATTGGTTAAATATGGAAATTAATCCATCAATAAATTCGGTTGAAAATAAAACAATTTGGCAGAAGAAATTACGAGAGAGTACATTGAAAGCAGTAGAAATCGCATTTGGCTCAAATAAAGAAATTATTAGCTCTTGGACAGGTAAGAAATAAACTTACGCTTTTGTCATCGATTGTGATTTACTTCCAGCATTCGATAGCTATCAGTATGCTTTTAACGCAACATGTATTGTCAGTATTTTTTTAGGTCGCAATATGAAAAGCTTACATTTCAGGTCAAAATACAAAACATTTATTGGAACGAATTAGCAAATGTGAATTTTTCAGTGGACGTACAATGTGGGTAAATATGGAAATTTTTACTCGAACTAAGGCGAATGCATTTTCAAACGCATTTCAAACTTATCCATACTACTACTGCTACGATGAAGAGGTTGTTTCATATTTAATTAATAAAAGATCGAAATTGAAAAATTTAATGATTGTTTTGATTTTTAGGTTGCATGTGATGAAGATGCAGAATTTAATCCTAAAGGAACATTTAATGATAAAACCTCAAAATGCAATCTTCAAAGTTTCAACAATAATACTGCCAGTAAGTATTTCATTTATTTCAAAATAATTTAATAGATGAATAATTAAATTTAAGATGAATGATAGTAAGAAGAATTAAAATTAATTTATGCAAAATCCAAAAACAATACTTTGCTCTATTGAAGCTGATTCAAATGTCCAACAATGCAATTCACAAGCGGAAAAGAAACCATCAAGTACGATGACAAATACCAAAGAGAATTATAAGTTTGTAAAGAGAAGCGACAAACCTGACGGTTGGTTAGTACATTAGAATTGGACTATTGTTTTAGTCTTCTAAGAAACTTACTGTGTATTATTCAAGTAAAAATTAAATGGCTACTTATAACAATTAATAAATTAGCACATTTAAATTATAAATGGAAAATTGATAATAACAAGTAAATTTCATTCTATGATATTTTGAAACATTCTCGAAGAGTGTAAGATAAGTAATTGCAGCAATTGATTACTTATAAAATGGAAATAAAAGAAAAGTAAAATGAACAGATGAAAATAATTGATTAACTTCTTGAAATGGATTAACGATTATATTATGATAAACAATTGATAAGCTTAAGATAAGACTATTATTTACAGTTATTTGTTCATTAAACGTTCATACTTCTGATCAATTTTGATTTCAGATTATTATCTTTGCTTTAATTATTATCCTGCTCGTTTCACCGCAGACGTGAAAGTACCGCCATCATTGGCACGACGACCGCCACCAGGAATATTTCGTTGTGATATCTGATTTAAGCATGAGTTAATTCTCTCTCATTGCTTATTGCGTTCTAAAGGACACCTCTTTTAATTATTTTATTTTTTAATTGAATGATTTGTACTTATACCATCGCCGCCCATGACCACTTAATTATGATTTAAAATTTTATATCCGTTTGATTATACATTTCATCAGCCAATTATAATTTATTCTTGCTTACAGCTTCGTTATGATTACTATAAACGAAGTTATTATTGGGCAATATTTTGTTTGCCATAAAACAAGCTGTTGTAGTTTATTTAGCAAATAAATGCTTAGGCTTCGTTTGTTAAATAATTTCATTGCATTAAATTGTGCTTAATGTGATATTTTGAAATGAAGAACTGATCATACACGTGGCTGTTTTCTTCAGTTGTGAAAGTTGGCAATATTATCTTAAAATCTAACGAGATTAATTATGCTAATAAGAAAATGTAGAAAGACTACTCTAATGGCTGGAATAGTGGCTTTCGAAAAAATGTATTTTAGAACGATTTAAACTTTCGTTAAATTGCAAATTGTACATCAAAGGATGGAAATGATATCTTGTGAATGAAGATTTAAGTATGGGTCAAATTTGCATATCAGTTGTTATGGTGATAATCATACTTCTTCAATTATGAAGTTTATTCTTTGTTTTATTTTTAGCTTTATTTGTGTTTTTTGTGTGTGTGTGTGTAGCTATTTTCCTAATCAATAAAGAATTTCAAAGTTAGCAAAATCAATAAAAGTTAGCATTAATAGAGATATTTGATATGATCATGATCAATTGGTCAAAGATCAAATATATAGCTAAAACTATTGCAAGTTTGATTATCATTTTTATTCATCGGTTCATCTTCCATTATTCACCCTATTTTTATACTATTATAAGTTAATTTATACTATTGTAAATTAATAATAGTTAGTCGTTAAGCAATTTCAAGTTTTAAGTGCGGTAATGATAAAAGAAGTTTTTCTTCATATTTTTTGCTTAGTTTTCATTAAGTTTTCTAAAGCTTCAAAAAGATTAAGGATAATTCAAAGAAATTAAATTTGTATTTTTAACTCTGTGAACTCTATCTGAAGATGGGATAAGATAACCATATATGAAGTGCGATATATTTGGCATAGTTATCGAATTGTTATCGAATTAGTTATCGAATTGTTATATAATTATCAAATTAAGTATAGTTATCGAATTATCGAATAATAGTTATCGAACTGCCTTCTCGAAAAAAATTTGCGACAACTAATCAGTATTTAAGATATAGCTATTTGAGATAATTGTACCGGCAAACAAGAATTAGAAACAAATGGATGAGAGAAACGATGACTTATTTTGCAAATGGAATCATGAAACTGATATTATCAAAATTTTATTCTCTGATAAGATTAAAGATTTAAAAGAACAACTCGTTAGTTTTATCTATTGTCTAGCACAAAAGTTAAACATTGTAATATGGCTTATTAGCAATATATTAATTAGCAGGAATATTATAAATTTTATATTTTATATGAATTAACATTAAGTATAATTTTCTTTAGTTTCATCTAATGAGTAATTAAAATAAATATCTCAATTAATTACGAATATCTGTTTTCTTTTTCTTATTTTAGGAAATATTAGAAATTGGACAAACAAATCCAAATGCTGAAAATATTTATGAAAACGAGAAGGTATACTTTATCATAACTGATTCACATCTTTTCTTCTTCAATTTTTGTTTGAATGATATGATTAAATTCTGATTAGGCAATAGCATTGGCAAAAACTGAAATTGGTTCCTTAAATGGTATATTGGGAGTATATCTGTCCAAAATGCAAGATAGAAAAAGAGCTTGGATTCAGGAAAAACAGGTTTGATTTACTCAACTATCTCTTTGTTTTAAAAAATTTTTTGTTAATGAAAAAAGCGATATTTTGGTTGGAAAGAATTTCAATGATGAAATTCTTGCAATTAAATTACGCCACTATGATTCTAACTGAACTGATAACTTGTATGATATTGTTATCTTATCACGAATATTTATTTTAAATAAACTTAAAAATGAGTAATATCCTGTACTCTGTTGATATTATATAGAAAAATATAAATGATAAGATAAAATTAACAATGAGAGAAAGTAATTTGATAATCTGCTAATTTTTCCAGAAAGAACGAAGGCAACTTATAGAACAAGTGGCTATTTTACTGCAATACAAAAAAATTATTGCTATTACGCAAATTCCCGAGATTACTTGTTCACTGAGAGCTGGAACAAATGGTGCCATTGTAAGTTTGATTCATCCTTTTTGTTTAAAATTACGGAAGCAAGAACTCCCTAAGAAACATCAAAGTTTAATTCCATCTTCGAATATTCACTTTTTTTGTAAACATTACTAATCCACTGTTGAAGAAAAATTAATTTGCCTATTGCCGCAGAATGCTCTATTCTTTACGGACTAATTAATTACTTCACTCTTTCAACCTTTAATTTGACAGTAATCTCCTAGTTTCTAAAATGCATTTTATTTCAAAAAAAAAACCCTCCTGAAATTTAATTAATTAATTAACCATAAAATTTTGCTAACAGAAATTAAACGAACGAGAACTTATACTTTTAAATTGGCTAAATGAATTGATTAATCCGAGGATAAATTTCGGAGAAAGTAGGAGAGCTCGCAATAAGAAGCTACAAATTTCCGTGGAACGGGGAATGAAAATCGTGAAGAATTCATCTGTTTCAGTTATTGGCTACCGTACAGGTAAGAATCGATTAGAATGAAGTTTTGTTTATTTGAGAGAAGGTCATTCATTCTTGACAAACAAATAGAGCAAATTTAAAGTGTGAAAATTTTTTGCCTTTCATTTCTATTTCATTCTTATGCTTTTTTTAATTCAACTCAAAAAGATAAGATTATTTTCAGGTAGTGAAATTAAATGTTTTCTTGATCGTATTTCCAACTGTCAGTTATTTTCTAACATGCCATCTTGGCTAGAAAATAAGATTTTTATTCAACAAATGTCTGCTATTGCTCCAGCACGGGTAATTTCATAGAAATTGAATTTTCAAATTTTAATTAATTGAGATTCTGTATGTTTATCAAACTTCAATGATGAAATTTCTCATACCCTGGCAAAATTTAGGCTACAAGAAATTCTTCTTCGTGTTTTGTTATTGATAACGAATCGAACTGTACTTCTCCTAATGAAAGGGGAGATGCCCAAGCTGAGAATTCTTAAAGCAATGAATTTTTCACAATATAATTTTAGATGTATGAAAAAAAGGTTAGATGGTCTTTATTTTACTGAAAATACTTTTATGCAACCAACTACAATGACCCATCAAAATCTGCTGGTCAACTTTTATCATAAAATAATGGACAAAATTTATTCATAAAAATCAATCTTAAAACTTTTTGAAAATTTTAGTAATAAAAGGGTTAGCATTAGGAAATGTAGTCTAACAATTACTGTAAGATGAAGTTTGTCGGTAATTTTCTTGGTAGTATGTAGCATTTTGTTTGCGGTCAAAGTTCTTATGATCTTCTACTCTTTTCACAGATTTTCTACTTTTTTAAAAAAAAACAATAATATATTTTGAAGTATTAAGTTATATTTACAGCCTATCGAATCAATCGATCAAATCCTACTTGATTTGATCGATTGATTCGTTTTCAATAATCTCAACTAATATAAGCTTCGCTTGAATTTCTATATATATATATATATATATCTGTTGTTTCTAGCTGTTTTCAATGTTTGACAAAAACATTATGCGCACGAAAATTCTAGGCGCAAAAGTATCGATGTAATGAAAATGCGAAAAAGAAAAAGAAATGTTCACTTTAATACTTTCATTAACATTTCCTTTTTTTGCGTTGGATTAATTGTTAGCTTTGTGATATGCAAAATATGCAAATGATTATTTAAAATGAATTTGCTAATGAGGAAAAGTTAACAAACAAAATTTTAAAATTCCTTTTTATTATTTGTTCCAGCGAAATGCATTGATTGTATTTACTGTATTAAAAAGTTGAAAGTTGAAAAAGCTATTTCTGCAAAGATTAAATTTATCATATCAGATGTGATTATATCTATATTTGATGTTTTGAGCATTTCATAAAATGTTACTTTACTACATATCTCTCTTATATTCAATTACAGCAAAGTTATAAAGTTGCAATTATTAGATTACACATAAAGAATTTTAATTATTACATTAATTACCTCATCAGTCAATTGCTTTCTTCTTCCCCTCACTTAAATCATTTGATATTTTAATATATTTTTTGGGATTAAAAGCAGTTATAATAAAATTTATTGATTGTTTATTCTTGAAAAGAAAATATTCTTTGATTTCATATTTAAATAAATTAATTTAAATGTTGCAATTACGGCCCAAATAGACAAAGGCCTATAATAATTTTATTTTGAGGGAAACTATTTTATCTCGCATATTTACTCAACTTTATAAGCCTTCTATTTAAGGCCTGAAACACATATCCATTTTAGCAGAACTAATGGTATTTTATTCATTGCTAATCGTACCTCATTATATTTCAAGCAAATTTGTTCGAATAATTCCGATCTTTGATAATATTTGATAATAATTTGATCTTTGATAATCTTTGATAATATTGCTCAGTTTAAAAAGAAAAATGCATAACAAATATCGGATTCGTTCTATGGAATGGGACAGAAACGGTTAAATGGAAGATTGAAAAATTCGATGTCACGGAAATATGAGTTACAAGTGTTATTTATATTTAATGAAAAGGATGAAACAAGCATTTAAAAATGAATTATGATTTCACCTATCATATCCAATGAAAGGTGACACTATTATTGATATGATAATGGAAATAACGAGAATTTAAATAGTTGTTGAATTCAAATCAAGAATAGTAAGCTTGAAGTTGGAAGGATTAATGATAAGGTCATTTGTTGCAAAAGATTGTTCGTAACATAAAATCGTCTGGTCATTTAATAAAATGAAAATAATGATAAATCATTAGTGGCCTTTTTTAGGTTTATACATCAAGAGAATATACAAAGCATATCATTAAGAACTTATGACAATAATTACGGATTGTTTTTCTTATTGTATCATAGCAATTAAGATGTGAAAAAATAGTATAATATGTAAAATGTAATTTCAATAACAAAAGAACAAGATTGTGGAAAGGTAAGATGAGTACCTTCGTTTTTTCAAATATCGATCATCTTTGAAATCTCCCGTTAAAAAAAATTCTGATGTGATACATTTTCATCAGTTGAAATTAGCATAAAAACAGAAATCATTACTTTTGCTTCATAAAAAGTATATATAATAAACGATCCTTCCATTAAACAATTCCCAAATTTCCCAACTTTTTCTTCCTATTTGCTTTACTCTCTCATTAATTTATTTGCTATAAATGATATAACTGATAATCAATAATAATAATAAGTATCACTGTATTGATAAATTCTAATAGTAACAATTAAAATATCTCGTGTATTTAATAATTTTGTCGGTTGCTATGTGAAATAAGCAAGTTGCTAAGGTGTTGTATGTATTGGAGAGCTGCTAAGAAGTAATAAACAAATTATTTTAACTAAGTTAGTTCAAATGAATTACTTTTTGCCTTATCATATCTTACTTTATTTTTAACTTTCATTATCTTACATTCTGAAAAGACCTTTATTCTAAATTTTCATTTCATTTCATTCCTCTTTTCTCCCATTTTAATATCTCATTCCTTCATCTTATTTTTATACACATTTCTTTTGTTAAGAAA